ACCAGGCCAGACTACTTTCTGGGCTAGTTGGAAGCCAGAACTGGGTTTTCCCTTTTTTGGGCAGGGCTAGAGGGATGCTTCTGGGGTCCCAGCTGTCCTGTATCTCTGCTGGTATTTCCTTTGTAAGGATTCACAGAGCTGTGCACATCTCATCTGGGCATTGGCCTATAGGTGTGTTATCTTTCATAGAATTTTCTTTTAAAAGGGAGGGAAATGGTCCACAGTTCTTCTGAGAAATTGAAAAGGCTAGATTATCTCCAGGAATTTTATAAATGATGAGATGATATACAACCCTGTTCAACAAGAACTCTTATTGGTCCTTGTTGGTCCTCTTGTTGGCTAAGTGGTCCTGGCAGATGGGAAGGGCAACTGCCACCCCTTGTCTTCCTAGGCTAGGCGTGGATGTGAGCCATGCAGTCTCTTTGGAGCTGGTGATCTTGGCCATGGTCCAGTGTAGCCTCCAGCTGGGACTAGGGTCATTGTGAGTAGCACCAGGGTGCCTTTGGGCCATCCCCTGTCCCCGGATAGACCTGTGACCATTAAGGATCAGGGGAACAGCCCACAGTGGCAGGTCACGCTCTGACTTTGTGCCAACATTGGTGGACTCAGCGTAGATCTCAGCAGAACTTCGTGTGTCCCCAGGCCACAGAACGAAAAGCATGTTTCACTTTCACAGGCCTGAGAGAAATTCCTGGTCCTGCTTCTCTGTCCAGGGCATAGGGCAGAGAGTTGCCCTTGTCTCTCGGACACAGCCCTTTTATTTAACGTGGTGCTGGGGGCAGCATTGCCACAGACATGCAGCTCTGGCATTCAGCTTTGATGAGAATCGGCCTGCGCCAGCTACAGCAGTCACGTGCTATCTGGAGAAACCAGTGGCCTGCCCTGGGGCTGCTTAAAAAGAAACTGCCCTTCCCAAAGTGTCCAAATGTGTCTTGCCCTGACCCCCACCCTCCTACCAGGGCCAAGTGCATGAGAAAGTGATTGTTTCCCAGAGTTACTGAGAGCTCAGGGATACCGGCTGTGGTCTGCATTGCCACCCCACTCCTGGCCCGCCCTGGGTGGAAGGCAGCCCCTCATCTCTTCTCACGGGAAACGTGTGCGGCTCCTTCTCCAGCGGTCACGCTGGGGCCTGTGTTTCTTCCCTACGTGTCAAAATGAGGACGCAAGCCCTGGGCCTTGGAGGAGGAGAAAGCCTCCTTTGTCTGGCTGCCTCCTGCGCTGGAAAACCATCACAGGGCTGTCCCCTCCGCGCTGGCCCCAGCACCTTGCCAGCAAATCCCTAATCCCGGCTTCCGCGCTACAGACCCAAATTGAGCCTTTGTGAGGAGAATAAAGGAGCACTTTGTGAGCCTTTCAGGAGGAGGGCTGCAGGGGGATTGGACGGCTAAGCCATTTCTTCCTTCCCTGTCTTTTGTCATTGCTGCTGGGGAGGGTGGGCTACCGGGTCCCTGCTCTTCCTGGCCCACGGAGGTGAGGGGACAGGCCCCCGCGGAATCTCTTGGCGTCTGCACCAGCCGCACCACCTCCCCTGGGCCAACAGACCGACAAGCCTGGGCCGCTGTCTCTGTGCCCCGTCCCGCCCGCCCGCCTCCCAAGCTCCTCCCTTCTCCCCATGTAGGAGGTGACAGCGAGCTGAAGGCCCCAGATCCATGGCTGGTCTGCATGGGGATCCTGGCACCCTCTGCCCTCAGTTTGTGGGAGCTTCCACTGAACCCCGAATGCCAGGAAAAGGCTCAATAGAACATCTCGTGGCGCTTTCTTCCCCAGCATGTTTGACCTGCTCGTGCTTACTGGCCCGTAGTATGTTGTCATAGGAGTGGACCAGATTTCCTCCAGCTCCCTTTCCTGTTGGCATGGATTTGCTGTCATGGTGCGGCTGAGCGATAGCTCCTGCACCTCTGACCTCGGCTGCACAGGTGGGGCTGCTCTGGTCTCCTGCCTGGTTGTTAATTGTGTTTACCTAGGGCCTTTAGAAGCCCCGCCCAGGCAAGCCCCAGTGGTGTTGGCTCCATTTCTCAGAAGTGAAGATTGAGGCTCAGAAAAGTTGAGGGACCTGCCCAGGATGGCCTAGGAGCGAGGGAGCAGAGCTTGACCTGTGGCCCTCACCATCTCTGGAGAGCCCAGGTTCGCAGGCAGGTTCTTCCTGGTGAGAGTGAGGCATGTACTCCTGCAGTGCCCTGCAGACAGGATGGGCCAGAGGAGCGGCAGTGTGTGCTGAGCACAAAATGCAGGGCTGTGGGCAGAGGTGTTCCCATTCTACAGATGAGGACTCTGAGGCCCGGAGAATGCACCTGCCTTGCCTGGGTCTCGCAGCTGGCGCCAACGCCAGAGCCGGGGCCCGGGCCAAGGTTCCTTCCGAGAGTGCCCTGGAAGCTCAGGAGGGGCTGGAGCCACAGAAGGGAGCCAGCGGGGGTTGCGGGCCTGGCGCGGGGCCAGTGCCTCCCTCCCGCTGCCACCCCCGGGCGCTGCTCACTTCCTCCCGCCCACGCCGGGAAGGGGAGGTGATAATTACTGCCTTGGACGAGTAGCGCTTGTCAACAGATTTTTTAGATCTTTTATTTTATATTCATCTATCCACGTATTTATTTATTTAGAGTCCTCCACTGACTTCCCCCTCGTGTTAACGTGGTATGCAGGAAGAGTGTGGGATTGGGAGGGAGAACTGGGTCAGCATAGCGTCACCATCCTGCAGGTGGGACCCCACAAGCTGTCCCTTTTAAATGAGGAGGCCATGTCCACCTCGCAGGGTCCTGAGGAAAACTGGAGACAAGATGTGGCACCTGCCTCCTGCCTGGTCCCTCTGAAGGCTCGTGGTGGCTGCTATTGTTACAATTGGTCCCGCCATCAGTAGCGAGCGGTCTCGGGCAGAACCATGGGACCAGGGGGAGCCCCTGCCACCCCACCCTGTCCCTAGATGCAGTCACACAATTACACAGCTTTCATAGCCTCACACACCCGCCTGGGGCGACTTCTGCCAGAAACATACTGAAGCTCTTATTTGCGGGGATCCGCTGGTTCTGTGCCCAGCGGGGTCTGTCTGTGCTCGCTCGGGGTTCTCACCCGTCCACCCACTTTTGCCCCAGGACCTGGCACAGGGTGGGCACCATGGGCCCCACACAGCATGCCAGGAAAGACTGTCTTTTGGATTGTGTTCTGGAGTCTTCCGTCCTGTTGCCAAGGGGCAGTCCTGTGCTCTGCACCTCCCCACCACCTGCCAGCAGAGAGTCCTCAGGCCTTAGGAAGCAGCGGCATCTCACAGGCTCTGGAGACAGCATGGCCTGGGTGGGCTGCCCGTGGGAGACAGTGTCTGCGGGAGGCCAGGCAGGCTCAGTGACTGTCTCAGAGGGGCAGGGGCTCCCGGTGGCCTCCCTGGAGTCCCCCGGCACTTCTACTGACATGGGCTCAGCCAGAACAATGCACGTGACCACCTGAGCTGCACGGGTGGTGAGGCGGCCTTTATCTCAGGCGAGTGTCAGTGTCCTATAATGAAGGGAAGGGCAGAAAGCGACCAGGATGCAGCCTCCTCGCAGGGCAGAGGTTAAGGTCCTAGGGCCTTTCAGGAGCTCCAGGACCAGCAGAGCCCAGTCTGCCCTTGGTGGCAGCCCCAGTGCTGCCTCACATCGTCTGTCCCTGGCTGCACACAGGAGGGCACCACGGGGGTTCTGGACTAGAGTTAGATGAATTGCGGGTGGCGACCATACCCCACTGTCTCTGTGTATCCAGTGCTGCCATCTGGAGTGGCCTGCTGAGGCCCAGCCTCTTGGCCTATGTGGACAGCTGCCCTTGGCAGGCCAGTGCTATCTTTGGGCTGGGCAGAGGTGAGCGGGGTGTGGTGGGAAGGGAAGAGGCAGAGAGGCTGCCTGTCACACCCAGACCCAGCCCAGGTGCCCGCTCCCAGTCAGTTCCATGCTGTCCGCACCCCAGGCCCCCCAGGACAGTGTGCAGCAGGCAGGGCCCACACCTCCGAGGGGACCCAGGCAAAGCTGGCCACAGAGCCCTGCTGCAAAGGCAGACACACCAGGCCGGCCGGGGCCTCGTGCTTTGAATTAAGGCATTTCACAGAATTGCAGAGAAGACCTTGATCATGCCTTCCACGGAGGGCTGAGGAAACTGAGTCCATGGTCCGTGGGGACAGGCGGGGGTGGAGGGCCTGTTGTTGAGTCCCAGGCTCTGGCATTTGAGCTAGAAACACCCCTGACCCTGGGCATCCTTTCGTGGTGCGGCCAGTGCCCCAGGGTTTCAGGTGGAGGTCTGGCAACCCCAGATTATCCTATCATGGAGCAAATGGGGTTAATTGAAGGCACTATCTTACTGAATTTCAAAATTTGGTGAATTAAAGAAATCAGTATGGAATGAAGACATATTGGAGAAAGTCTCTCAGGCTCCCCCGCCACCTGGTGGTCCAGTTCCAATGGGTTATCTCAGTGGTGCTTATGCCTTGCCTGCGGCCCCTTTCTCTCCAAGCCTTGATTTCCACAGCCCCCAAAACGAGAAGGTAGAATTTGTGTTTTCATGCATAGGGGCATTCTTCTGTGGGTTCACAGAGGGGCTTGTGATCCCCAAAGCAGGACAAATGGGGTGGGCTGTGCATTCCTGGGGTTAGGGCCATGTCTTACTCATCCACATGTCCTCCCAGCTCTGCGTCTGGCCCCAGGACACAGTGGCTCAGGCTTGGGCTGAGGGCTGTGGAACAGGGAGCCTGCCAGGTGCTCCACAGGCAAACCTGGGATGGCCAGGGGGAGAACATGTGCTGAAGGGCAGGGGGACACATGCTGAAGGACAGGGGCCCAGTTTCCGCCCATCCTAGATCTCTGCCCGCCTTTCACAGCAGCCCCAGGCTTCAGCCTCCTTTCCCGCCCCCACAGGTACAGGTGTGGGCCAAGAGCGTGGGGCAGCCCTGACTCCCAGAGGCTCTGGGGTCTCCTCTCGTCTTGAGATCTGCAGGAATAAGACTGTGCCTGGGGTTTGGTGGTCACAGGGTCTGCCTCTGTTGTCTGCAGAGTCCCCAGGTCCGTTTTGCAGAGCTGGCCAATGATGAGAAGATCTTTAATGGGGGTGACAGCGTTTGGCAGAGCCAGGAGCAGGCGCTGCTTACGGATATCACAGAGGAGGACCTGGAGGCCATCCGGCTGCGTGAGGAGGCCATCCTGCAGATGGAGGTGAGGGCTGGGGGGGTGGCGTGGGCACACACACTCAGCCCTTCGTGCAGAGGCTGGGCCAGGGACTGAGGGAGCTCTGCTGTGGCATTGCTTACCCTGTGGCCAGCATCCTGGGGCCACCCCTCACCTGGAGGGGCTGGAACTGGGTCCTGTGACCTTGCCTATGCTGACTGCCCCTCCATGGGCATCTGGTCCTTGTGGTGGAGGGACTGGCATCCAGGGAACACTGTCTCCATCCCCTCCTTCCTGACTTTTCCTACCTAATAGGGAAACCCAGGAGTATTCTGGTGAGGAGCCAAGTGCCTGCACTCACAGTCCCAGCTCAGTCACTGTGGCCATTTTATTTGCTGAATGCTTAGAATTTTGGAAGGCTGTTTAGCTCTAACAGAGGTGATTTGGTGCCAAGCATGCATGATCGAGTAACTTAGAACTGAACCTGCAATTTGATGGTGCTGCCAGCAGGTGGTGGGGGTGAGTTGTTGGGCTCTAGCTGTAGGGCATGGGGACTGGATGTTGCTTGTTCCGTGTCTTTTTGAAGTTTGCCCATATATAACACCTCCTGCCCAACGCATCTCTGGACCACAGGTAATCTCAGGACCGCTGCTGAACACATGTGATATCTTGAAAGGCACACATGCCTGGGATGTGTGAGTGTGAGTGTATGTCTGTGTGTGAGTGTGTGTGACTGAGTGGGAGTGTGCATGAATGTAGGTGTATATGAGTGGGTGTCTGAGTAAGTGCATCAGAGTATATGTGTGTGTGATTGTAAGAGTGTACATGAGAGTATGTGAGTATATGCATATGAGTGAATGTGAGAGTGTGTATGAGTGTCAATGTGTGTGAGTGTATGTGAGTGTGTGTAGTGTATGTGAACAAGTGTATGGATGTGCGTAAGGGTGTAAGAGTGTATGATGTGTGTGAATGAATGTGAGAGGGTGTTTGTGTATGAGTGTGTGAGTATGAAAGTGTGTGTGTGAGTGTGATAGTGTGAGTGTGTGTGGCTGTGTGTGTAAGGGTGTGAGTATGAGAGTGTATGACTGCGTGAGTGAATATGAGAGCGTGTTTGAGTGTGTATGAGTGTGTGAGTATGACAGTATGAATGTGAAAGCGTGTGAGAGTATGAGTGTGTGTGAGTGTATGTGAGTGTGCATGGAGTGAGCCTCTTCTTTTTCATGCTGAGGTGCAGGTAGGAGAAAGCAGTTGGGCTTGGCGGTGGGAGCCAAGCGTTTGACCATGGGCATGTTCTCCGTCCCTCTGGGCTTCCTCACTGGCCTGCTCTGAAGCTCCTAGTGGCTGGGTTTCTGGAACAAATGTCCACTCAGAGCAGATTCTTCTAGAAAAATGGGAACCTGGGAAAGTCAGTAAACCGAGTCACTGGCTTAGGACTTGTGGCCAACTCTGCTTTCCTAAGGAGCAGGCCTTCCACTCTGGAAGGTGGTGGATGCCCCACAGGGAGCCCCCCTCTCACGCGCATACTTGTGGGGCTGCCCACCTCCCTGTGTCTGCTGCAGGCCCCTCCTCACTTCACCTAGCAGAGGAGTGCTCATGTCTCAAGACCTCCATCCAGTGCCCTGCTGCTTCTGTGAGCCATTGTCCCCTCTTTACCCCATCCTCGAGCTCCCCAGAGAGGAGCTGTGGTCCTGTCTTTGCCCTGCTAGGGGGCTGCTGCTGGGGGCCTGTATCTCTGGCTGGAAGACAAGCTTGTTGCTGTTGCTGAGACGGTCCATTGAATGACCAAAACACAGAGATGTTGTTTATCCCTCTCTGCTGGCACAGCGAGGCCCACTTTTCCCAGAGAAGCAGAGGAACAGATCCAGGAGTGTCATTCCTGATGGCTCCGGATCCGGGGAGGCCCGGGAGAGGCAGAGGGACTTGCTCCCTTTAACTTGAGAGGCTGACGGCCCTTCCGGGAGCACAGGCTTCGCCTGTCCCCATGGGCATGCAGGAGGGACACTCTTCAGGCCTGAGTCCAGGGAGTGGAAGCTGCTAACAGAAGCTCCTGCTACCAAAAGGATCAGACTCCTGGATGAGGGCAGGGCCTAGGGCATGGGCAGGCAGGCGGGGCTGAGGGCTGTGCCCCTGAACGGTGGGGCTGGCTCACCTCTGAGCTTTCTGGCAGCCAACCAGGAGAAGCAACAGGGTGGGTCACAGGATTCCAATGTCGCATCTGTACTTGGGAGCCAGCTTCTCCCTGTCCTGAGCCTGTGAGTCCTGCTTCTGGGGCCTCATGAGGAAGCCTGTGGGCTTCCCGTGCCTTGGACAGCCTCCTGGTGGCTGTCTTGGTGCCAGACATGAGGCTCATGCTGTGTGGCAGCCCTGGGATAAGGTTTGGAGGCTGGAGGCTTGGACAGACCAGGCTCTAAGGCACTGCTCTCTGGTTGTCTGTGTGATGAATATGGGCAGAGCAGTGGCCTTTACCGGGACGGAGGGACCCCATGTGGAGGCTGCTACCATTGTCCAGCTGAGAGACAAAGGGATGTGGGTCAGGACAGGGAGAGGAGCTGAGTTTGTGCAGGGCTAGACTGGATTCAGTCAAGGGGCTGGGCCTGTGCATGGGATGGGGGCTTCATCTGTGGCCCTCAGGGCTTCTCACAGCTCAGCGCTGTGCTGGGGTTTGCAGAGGGGCCAAGTGAGCAGGACCCATGGCTAACCTGGCCTTCCCAGCCTCAGTTTCCTTATCTGCAGTGTGGGGACCGTGCAGAAGATGTGGAGTCTCATGCCAGCAGACAATAGTCAGATAGGGGTTGATGGGGTGGGTCAGCTTTCTTGGAGGCAGCTACAGCAAGCACCTCCTCTCCCTGCACCACTCACTCCCTTTGGTCTTTGAAAACCACAAAATGACCATTAGCCTTTAAAAAGCCCTCCCCCAGGTTCAAGGCAGGTCCTAGTGGCAGCAGTTAGACTTTGATCAGCAGGAGGGAGCCACGAGACTGGGTGACAGCAGCAGAGGCCCAGGTGTCCCCAGGCCCTCCATGGCTGGGTCACTCTGGGGGTGTCTGCCCAGTACCACAAAGGCATGTGGGGATGGGAGGTGACGATGTTTCGGTGGGGGGCTGGGGAAGCAACCTCAGGAGGACAGCGTGGGCCTTCACACGTGGCTGGTCACAGCCTCTCCTGCAGACTCCAGTGGCTCATGGCAGTGTGCGTGACTTTACGTGTTCAGAAGTCACGGAGGTGAGACTGGGTCCAAGCGAGCCCCCACTGTGGTCTGCTTTCTAGGACTAACCTTATCTGGTAGGTGGTAGAGTGTGGACAGGTGGGGAAAGTGAGGCTCAGGGAGGGGAACTGCTGTCACAGCAATAGGTTGGTGCTGCATCCGGTTCCTATATGCCGTCTTTCCTTCTCGCTTTTTGGCCTCCATGAGTGCTCGTGGATAGATGCTGAGTTGGGAGGTGGTAAGTTAATGGTGAGGGCTCTATCCTGGGGCTGGTGGCCCCACTGAGTGTCCCTTTCCTCTTTCCTCCTCCTTCCCAGAATCATCCAATGGATGGAATAAAGGGGAGACTTGGGATTCAGTGTCCCAGCTTTAGGCCCAAGTCTCCACTGACCAGCTAGGCGACCTTGAACATGCTGTTTGCCTCCGTAGTTTCATCTGTGAAATGCTCAGACAGCCCGTGTGGCAGTAAGCAGAGTCTCCAGGCCTGAGGGAGGTGATAGCCTGTCAGGAAGCCTCAGGAGGCCCCATGGCTTACTCCAGAGAGGCCAGGGAGTGGATGGGCAGGGGACAGTGGAGCCCACGGAGGCTGGGGCCTTCCCAGTGATACTGAGCACTGGTGTCAGCTCTGTGGGCCACCTGGACATGGTCCAGTTAGATTCAGAGTAAGAGTGTACTGCCCTTTGGGGGCTCTGCAAACTGTGTTCAACCCCAGAGACCCAGCCCCTGCGCACCCCTCTGCTTGTGTGACCCCCGAGAACATCCCAGATCTTGACACTGCAGCTTCCTCCAGCCTTCAGACTTGGGCTCAGGTGTGCACTCCTGGGGAGGCCCTGCCCGCCACCCTCACCTGCGCCAGTTCCCTGCCCACCCCGTCACACCCTGGAGTCTCTGCTTGGTCTGCTTGCTAGCCATGCTGTTGTCACCTGTCAGTCTCATGAGAATGCAGCTTTCTGTGGGAAGGGACCTCCTGCCCCCACCACCCAGCATCAGTCTGCTCTCCAGGGCCCATGGTAGTCTGCTCGGTAGATACCTGTTGAGTGAATGCGTGAAGCTGACTAACTCCCCCCTCCACGGGATGCCTAACCCCATGATAGTGGCCCATCCTGCCCTCTGGCTGCACCTCCAGGATGGACTCAGGGCCCCCATGGCCAAGGGGGTCTGAACTCTGCACCTGTCCACCGCAGTCCTCTGTTGACCCTCGGCCCATGGTATAGGAGCGTCTCTGCCTGCTTGCCCGGTCTCTGGCCCATTTCTCAGTGATGTCGCTGTCCGTGGCAGTGACAGTGCTAGAGCCCCCACCCCTGCAGGCCAGACTTTGGCTGTGCCTGCTGTGGCGCTGGCCATAGGAGGCCTTTGCTGTGTGTCCCTGCATAACTCCCATGCCAAGCCCTTGTGCCTAGGGCCTGAGCCCTGGCCTGGAAGGCTCCATGGACGGCATTTCCCCAACCCTGCCAGTTCTGTCCCCTTGCCAGGCTATTTGGCCTCAGCGGAGGGAGGAGGGTGGTCCAGCCCAGCTCACCCCCACAGGCCTGGGCTGGTAATGAGGCAACTGCCCCAGAGCCTTGGCTTGCTGTCCCCTGTCCTGAGCCTGGCCATTCCCAGCCTTCCCTGGGTCTTGGGTTCCTCTCCCCTGAAGGGGAGAGTGTGGGGCCTTCTCTCATGGGACTGCGTGAGGACTTGGTGAGCTGGAGTGTGTGGTTCGTCCAGAAGAAGCATCCCTCGGAGCTGCTGTGGGGCATGTGAGGAGGGGCTGGGGAGGGCTGGAGGTTCAGGGAGACTGGGCCAGCGCTGGGCTCTCTTGGCCCCCGGTTTGGGCATGGACGGCCGAGCCAGGAGCACATGC